AGGTTCACCCCCCTTCTGGCCATGCCTGGTGCTGCAGGCATGCCCTGCGTCCGTTCCCCCCAGGTTTTCCATCTTTCCCAGGACTCAGCTCCTCCGACAGGCAATCCCTTTCTGGACTAACGAGCCAGGCAAATAAACGATTTACCTCCCCACTTACGTTTGGATTCCTCTTCATCTGCCTCCCAGATGCAGCTCCCACATGCTGCTGGGCCCCTCTTAGCTCCGGGGCAGAGCCCTGCATCCCAGGAGCCCCTCCCCCCAAGGCAGTGCCACCTACTTCCTCTGGTTCTTCCACACAGTGTTCTCTGCCCTTGGATGAGGACCAGGTGTTTCTCTAGCTGGCTCCAGACCCCAGTCAGCCCTGGCTCTTAGGCTGCCAGGCAGCTAATTGTGGCACTGGCAGGGCTGATTGGTCAGTTGCTGCCCCAGCATGCTTGCCTCTTAATGGTTTGTCTGTGGGCAGAGGGGAGGTAGGTATGGAGAGAGCATTAATGGAGCTTTTCTTGTGGTGGGGGGACATAAAATGCATAGAGCACTGCTGGCTGCTATGGTGGTGGGGGGGATTATGAATGCAGCAATAGCAGGATTTATATTCTGGCAAGGGTCTGTGTGTTAAACATAAGCCATCCATGCTTTTCCTGGGACATAACTCCACTCTGCTTCTGGAAGCAGTGGGTGTGTGTGTGTGACTCTATTGGGGTCCATTAAAGTATGCTTTTAGCCACCCAGCCTTTGCCCACACTGGGGTAGCTGTTCCCTGCCAGCTGCGGTATGGCTCCCTAGAGAGGGATGGCACAGCAGGGACACAGTCACCTTGCTGCACCTATGGGTGCGCATTTTGACACACATTTTAGCCGGGCCATGTTCACAGCTTGCCACACTGACGTCTCTTCTCTTTATGAAGGAGCTGGGGCAGAAGCACTCTCCTCCCTGCCAGCTGTTCTCAGGGGCTGTATTTAGGAACAGAATCCAGGTCCTGCCTCCCAGCCTCCCGGCTCTGACCACTAGACTCTGCTCTCCTCCGCCCCCTCAAATCAGGGATAGAATCCAGAAGTCCTGACTCCTAGCCCCTCCCCTGCCACACTCTACCCAGCTCTTTCCTGGGGTGTGCCTCTCCCCTAGTCCATACATACACAGAAGTCTGCAATCCTGAGCCCTGAAGACAGAATGATTATATTTTCATAAGGCCTAACAAGCTGGAAGTGGGAGCTAGCTGCTTCTTGCAGTAATCTGTAAGCACGATAATGCAATACCAGCGAGTAGAGTGAGGAGGCAGTGGGTGATATCCCCTGATGAATGGAAGGAGGCTGAGTGTCATAGCACCTATACCGCAGATGTCCATGTGGGTGCAGGGAAGGAGTTCTCCATGATGGCACAACAGATTCCTCCCCAAGGTAGGCTTTGGAACTGAATGACACTAATCCAAATTAACAGTGCTCAACAGTTAGCGTAACCTACCCGCCCGTGGCGAGTAGATTACAAGCCGGCACAGCCGCGCAGCGCAGTCAGCGCATGCGCAGTGTGGTCTGTGCATGTGCAGCGTGTGCGTCCGCACAGGTGGCAAGCCCTGCTGGCAATCCACAAGGGGGCATAATGAAGTTTAATTAATCCACTTTAAGGGTTAATTTGGATTAGATCCCCCTGCAGACAAGCAAGGGTCCATTGTATTCTGCTGCCAATGCAGGATTCAGATCCCTTGGGATTTTGAACTGCCAGCTCAGTGCGGGGGGTGAGGGGTCCGTCCATACCAGCCAGCACAGAGCCAGATGGGCAGCTGTCATCCAGCTGTTCTAGGATCTCAGAAGTGGGTTTCCCTCAGTGCCTTCTCTCTGCCGTTGCTTCATTTCCTGTCGGCAACTCCTTCCGCAGCCCCTTGCAATGGGCCAGCAGGCGGGTTTAACATGGCACCAATCAGTCGGGGTGGAGGATACTCCTAACAAACCTGCCACCCTTCTCTGCTCTACAACACAACCCTGAACTCTGCCAACCTTCGGCTGTCTTCTCTGGGGCAGGACCAGCTTTGCGTCCTGTGTCTGAACAGCACCTGGCATGCTCATCTGGGGGGGCACCTGGGTATTGCACCTGGCACCATAGAGACTTGGTCCATGCCTGGGGCTCCTAGAAGCTAGCATAATACACAAAGGCTGTGTCTAGACTGGCCAGTTTTTCCGGAAAATCAGCCGCTTTTCCGGAAAAACTTGCCAGCTGTCTACACTGGCTGCTTGAATTTCCGCAAAAGCACGGACTTCCTACTGTAAGAAATCAGTGCTTTTTGCGGAAATACTATGCTGCTCCCGTTCGGGCAAAAGTCTCTTTTGCACAAAACAGCTGAGATTTGTTTTGTGCAAAAAAGCTCCGATTGCGAAAATGGCGATCGAGGCTTTTTTGAGGAAAAGCGTGTCTTTTGCGGAAAAGTGCTTTTGCGGAAAAGCGTCCGTGCCAATCTATACGCTCTTTTCCGCAAATGCTTTTAACGGAAAACTTTTCCGTTAAAAGGATGTCTGGAAAATCATGCCAGTCTAGACGTAGCCTAAAGGTTCAGTATGTAGTGCCATGGAGGCTGGATTCATGACTGGAGAGCCTTGGTACAGGTTGAAGCTCTCTAGTCCGGCACCCTCTGGTCCGGCAGCATCTGTGGTCCAGCATGATTTTAGTTAGCTGGATATCCACTTGTGGGTGTGGCCAAGTTTCCTGTGGTTCCATAAAGTTTGTTTACAGCCCACAGTCCTGGCTCTCAGTGTTCTGTGCTGTTATTTAACTCTAATTTACCCCTAAATGTCTTCTAAGAGCCCAGTAAGCAGGGGAAGTGTTGGTAATGCTGCTAGACAATACCAACCTCCCATGGTTCATTAAATTATCTGGTTCAGCACCAGCCATGTCTAGAGAAGAGCAACCTGTATTACTGTAATACACCTAATAGTAATATTAAGGTACAGCTCTTGGGACAAAGGGGTCCTCATTTTTGTTTGCAACTGGTCACCTCAAACCTGCTGTTAATGACTCAATGCAATCCCAAAAAAATACCAGCAAGTGGAGTGATGAGGGAGAGGAGGAAGTGTTCTCAAGTTCTATGCAATTATGTAAAATATTCGGAATGTATTGCTTATGTCTACACTTGCCTAAATCCCATAAATTATCATTTAAAATAAAAGCACACTGAGCTGTCTTAGGCTTTCACCCCCCAAAACACTGTTTTTCCCATTAATTTATTCCTAACACTGCCTAAAATAAAACGATTGCAGGAGCCACTGCTTTGGGTTCTAAGATCTCTGAGTAACGGATTTGGTGAGCCAGCCAGGAGTCTGATTCTAGTAATCATTAAGGACAATGTTTTAAAGTTTTGGCAAGATGATGGCCTCTGTGGCTGGGAACCCATGGGCCAAACTGGGGTCCTCCAGGGCTAACAGCACAAGTGGTGTGGGCCTGAGTTAATGCTTCCAAGGCAGGGCCATCCCTGACTGTGTTCTCTGCAGATGTCACACATGCCAGCCAGTGGGTGGCATGTTTCTAAAAGAGGTATCTGGGGGCTCCGAGTGGCACTCTGCCCTGCCTGGGTTCATCAGGACATGCCCAAAGCATAGATTTACCTGCCTTCTTGGCACGGCAGTAGGTGCAATAGGGTGTGGGCTGGCTTGGCGCTTCGTGCTGTTCATCATGCCAAATGCTCCTTCTGCTGAGATAGACTGTGCCTGGCAAACATGGAGTCTGCTATGCCTAGGCCATGCCTGCTCTAGGCCCTGCTACACCCTCACAACACAGCACAGCTGCCTTGGGCTCACCCTGTGCAATCGAGGTCCATCTCAGGCCACACTCGCACCCCAAATCTGGCCAAGCCCCCACTCACTCTGCCCCCACCCAGCACAGAGCATGTTGGCAATTACCTCTCCTCAGGAATTCATCACGCCTCCCACCGGCTATGCAGGCCTTTGCCGCCACTACCTGGGGAGAGAGCAGAGAGATGTGAGCAGTCAGCCTGCCTGCCCCTGTCATCACTCTCCCCAACCCCGGGGAGCATAGACACTAGAAAACGGGGCCTGAGGGCAAGATGGCACGGCCTGCCCCATGGCGTAGGATTTACAAAATCTAGCACCACACCTTGGCACTACCGTAATACACCTAATAGCCATAAACACATACAGCACCTAGTGCCATGGGTCCTGGGCCACTTCTGGGATGCCTCGGTGCTACCATAATGCACTTAATAGCAAAAGAAAATACACAGCACCTGGCACAGTGGGAGTGTGGGCCCCAACTAGGACACCCGGCTGCTGTCCTCTCCTTTCTTCCAGGGCTCCTTCTGACCCTGTCCTTCTTGTCCCAGGGAGATCTCATTCTTCCCACGCTTTCTCTGTGCCCTCTTCTCCCATCAGAATTCATGCCCACCCCTCAGCTGTGACCAGAACAATGGGCCCTGATCCTAGAGTCAGGCCCCTAGGTCCTACTTTGACACAGACAAGCAACGGCAAGAATAACTCCACATTCCCCTGGGCCTGCTGACGCAGTATTTCTCAACAGCTCCTTCCCCGCCTGCTGTTTCTGGAGCCCCTTTGTCAGTGGATATTGCATGTCTGTTCTCATGCTGGTTTGAAGTGGATAAGAGTCTATTGCTGCAGGCAGCTAGAAGAACACCTCCCTTAGCCCAAGCTGTGGAGGATGGCACTCTGAGCACTGGAAGGCTCAGGTCAGGATAGCGGTTGTGTCATTTTCACTCATCCAGTGCTGCTAGACATTGTCTGTCCTTGAATCTGTCCTTTTGCACAGCCACCCAGGGGATTCACCCATCCCCAGTATTGCTCCATCTTCTGTCTGTCCATCTAGTTCCCTCCAATCAACAGTTATCCATTGCTCCATCCATCCTTCCATCCATCCATCCATCCACCTCTCTATCCTACTCAGCCTTCCATTCATGCACCTTTACTCATCTCTCTTTCTGCTCATTTATTCACAGGATCTATCCATCTCTTTATGATCCTGCCATATCAAGTATTTTAACCGTCTCTCCATTTCACAGTACTGCACCAACTCTCTTTATTCTATTCATTCCCCTATGTACTCTTCTAGCAAATCTTTCTCTTGCTTTTTATAGCTAGCTGGCTATTTGTATTACCATCGCACCTAGGAACCATAGAATCAAAATAGCTATATACCTATTTATCCATCCATTCATCACCAGAAACTCTGCAGCAGCTTCAAGGAAATTAATCATAGCAGCGTTGCAGTGAACTCACTATCCTATGAGCAAACCCAGCATTATTTAGAAGCTCAGTATAATATCCTAGTGACATGACAGCAACCAAAATGTTCATCTTTGCCTCTCTCCCCGAAGCCTAAGGGCAATGAAAGAGTTTCTAGGAGTGGGGGGTGGGGCTCTCAGCACATAGGGAAGAGGGCTGGGAAAGACACGTTAACTGGATGTTCTCACTAAAAGACTCAATAGTGAAATGATTCATAAGGTTCTAATTGACATCACTAGGTTTCAGAGTTAATGCCCAATTGAACTGCTTAAGGTTTGAGAGGTGAAACATGATGGGACCTCCACTGTCAGTTCTGACCCTCTTGGGTGATTTATTGACGTGTTCTATGTGATTGGAGATGGGGAACTGACACTGCTGAGAATCTGGGATTTCCTTCCTACCCACAATGCTTTGAGCTCTGGTGGACAGCTTAGATGCTCTTCCCAAGACCTCCCTCCCCCTTGTATACTCATCTACTTCCATGTGAAGTGTGCCTACCTGGAAGTGTCTCACGTCCACCTCGTACCTGTAAAAATGATGTGAGGGGCCGGGTGACGGGGCCCTTTAGCTTACATGGGCAAGAGACACAACAGGGAAAGGTGGGAGGATGGACAGGCTTTTCCCCATAGGTTTCATTGCTCTGGGACTCAGGTGATGAGGGGGTCCAAAGGCCTTGGCTTTTGCTTGGGTTGAGTCACAAGCTTTTCCTGTGAGGTGCCTTGGTAGCCCCTCCCAACCACCCCCCTCCCATGTCAACCTCCCAGTCTGGCCCCCATCCCGCACCAGGTCAGGCCAGATATCAGTGTGGGGATGAATGACCCACTCCAACTAAGATAGCCCAGTCCACCACAGCATGGCACAGCGCAGCCCAGTCCAGCATAGACCAGTCTGCCCCAGTCGTCCCAACATTGCAGCTCACCTGACCCCGTTCAGCCGTGTCCAGTCCAATACAGCATGGCACAGTCCAGTTCAATACAACATAGACCATCCTAGCCCAACTAGGCCCCCTCTGCTGTACCACAGGATGTGGGCTAGCAGGATCAATAGATGGCGCTGTGCCACAGGAAGTGTGATAGCAGGATCAATAGACGGCGCTGTGCCACAGGAAGTGTGATAGCAGGATCAATAGACGGCGCTGTGCCACAGGAAGTGTGATAGCAGGATCAATAGACGGCGCTGTGCCACAGGAAGTGTGATAGCAGGATCAATAGACGGCGCTGTGCCACAGGAAGTGTGATAGCAGGATCAATAGACGGCGCTGTGCCACAGGAAGTGTGATAGCAGGATCAATAGACGGCGCTGTGCCACAGGAAGTGTGATAGCAGGATCAATAGACGGCGCTGTGCCACAGGAAGTGTGATAGCAGGATCAATAGACGGCGCTGTGCCACAGGAAGTGTGATAGCAGGATCAATAGACGGCGCTGTGCCACAGGAAGTGTGATAGCAGGATCAATAGACGGCGCTGTGCCACAGGAAGTGTGATAGCAGGATCAATAGACGGCGCTGTGCCACAGGAAGTGTGATAGCAGGATCAATAGACGGCGCTGTGCCACAGGAAGTGTGATAGCAGGATCAATAGACGGCGCTGTGCCACAGGAAGTGTGATAGCAGGATCAATAGACGGCGCTGTGCCACAGGAAGTGTGATAGCAGGATCAATAGACGGCGCTGTGCCACAGGAAGTGTGATAGCAGGATCAATAGACGGCGCTGTGCCACAGGAAGTGTGATAGCAGGATCAATAGACGGCGCTGTGCCACAGGAAGTGTGATAGCAGGATCAATAGACGGCGCTGTGCCACAGGAAGTGTGATAGCAGGATCAATAGACGGCGCTGTGCCACAGGAAGTGTGATAGCAGGATCAATAGACGGCGCTGTGCCACAGGAAGTGTGATAGCAGGATCAATAGACGGCGCTGTGCCACAGGAAGTGTGATAGCAGGATCAATAGACGGCGCTGTGCCACAGGAAGTGTGATAGCAGGATCAATAGACGGCGCTGTGCCACAGGAAGTGTGATAGCAGGATCAATAGACGGCGCTGTGCCACAGGAAGTGTGATAGCAGGATCAATAGACGGCGCTGTGCCACAGGAAGTGTGATAGCAGGATCAATAGACGGCGCTGTGCCACAGGAAGTGTGATAGCAGGATCAATAGACGGCGCTGTGCCACAGGAAGTGTGATAGCAGGATCAATAGACGGCGCTGTGCCACAGGAAGTGTGATAGCAGGATCAACAGAGGGCGCTGTGCCACTGGAAGTGTGACAGCAGGATCGGTAGAGGGTGCTGTGCCACAGGAAGTGTGACAGCAGGATCGGTAGAGGGCGCTGTGCCACAGGAAGTGTGACAGCAGGATCGGTAGAGGGTGCTGTGCCACAGGAAGTGTGACAGCAGGATTAGTAGGGGGCGCTGTGCTGCAGGGAGCAGGATAAGTATGGGGCACTGTGCCTCAGGAAGTGGGATAGTAGGGTCAGCAGGGGATACTGGTGCCCTCGTGGTGCTAGAAAGTGGGGAGGGGCACAATAGGGGCAGCTGTGTCCTCTGAGCCACTGCTGACCCCCAACACTCCAACCCTGTACTAAGGGGCACTGTGCCACAAGGAACGACTGCAGTGAGGCAACCCCAATTCTCACCTGCCTGAGACACTTTGGCTACGTCTACATTGGCACCCTTTTCCGGAAATGCTTAAAACGGAACAGTTTTTCCGTTAAAAGTATTTCCGGAAAAGCGCGTCTACATTGGCAGGATGCTTTTCCGGAAAAGCACTTTTCCCGGAAAAGTGTCCGTGCCAATCTAGATGCGCTTTTCCGCAAAAAAGCCCCAATCGTCATTTTCGCGATTGGGGCTTTTTTGCGGAAAAGAAATCTGTGCTGTCTACACTGGCCCTTTACCGGAACAGTTTTCCGGAAAAGGACTTTTGCCCAAACGGGAGCAGCATAGTTTTTCCGGAAAAGCACTGATGATTTTACAGTAGATTGTCAGTGCTTTTCCGGAAGTTCAAGGGGTCAGTGTAGACAGCTGGCAAGTTATTCTGGAAAAGCGGCTGATTTTCCGGAATAAGTGGCCAGTGTAGACACAGCTGTAGACACAGCCTTTGAGAACTGTGGCTGGGCTGTGGCAAGGAAGATTCCCACAGTGGCACCAGCCGAGCTGTGTCCCAGCTCCTGGTGCCCTGGCATGGGGCCAGAGATCCCACCTGGTGTAGCACAGTAGGGGCTGGCTGTGAGCGTGTTTGAACCGCAGCACCTAAAAGAGCTTGTCAGAGCTGTCAGTGCTGCCAGTCCCAGCAATGAGTGTCTCATGAGCACAGGGACCCGCCAAGGGTCTGGGGACATGACAGCCCCCTCCTCGGACGGGGAAGCTTTGTTCCAAAGGCTCCGGGAACAAGGGCGAGGGGAGGGGGAGCTGGTCTGCAAAGGCAGAGCTCCTGCCTCGCCTGCTCTAACCCCAGGCAAAGACAGAAAAGGAGCATTGAGATCAAAAGGAGGCTGTTGATGTCAATGCAGTTAGAGTAAGGGTGGGCTGGGCACCGGGATTCCAGGGTTCTGTTCCCAGAGCAGTGGGGTCTAATGGTTAGAGGGGCGAACTGACAGTCTGCTGCACTGGGAGTTATTCCCTGCTCTCCCACTTTTTTCAAACTCAAGCAAATCACTTCCCTTCTCTGGGGCACCCTTGCCTCTTGGGTAGAACCTATCATCTGTTTCTACAGG